ACGTGTGCTGCCAGGGCCATTTCTGGGGCACTGCTGAGCCAGTCCCTCTGGGAGCTGTGCTGGGCAGTTCCAAAGGACAAAGCTGAACCACACTGAGGTGTCCACACTCTGTCAGGGTGGCAAAGCTGAATCTTGCAAATACTGAGGCCCTGTTGCAAATTATAGATATTTTTAATGTTTTATTGGGTTTAATTAACCTGTTAATTAGTCATTTTAATTAATCATAATCTAGTGGACGGATTATATGACCAACACATCTGTCCTTGAACAGGCAGCAGTCAGGAGCATTGATGCCATGCTGCTGAGAACACAGCCAGCTGGGCAGGGCACGCCTTCAGGATGCAGGACTACTGCCTCCCTAAGGTTGTGCTCCATGGGGAACTTGCCACTGGTTGCCGCAAGACAGGAGCCTCAAAGAGGAGATACAAGGACTCCTTGAAATAATCTCTCAGCCTTGGCCACATTGATCATCACATTGGTCTACTTTGGCCTCCAATCAGAGCACTTGTCGGTCTCCCATTGGCCTTTTTAGCCATCAGCGCGCTTGTAGCAAGCATGGATAGAGCCCTTCCCAAATCTTTGTTCGTGAAGCCTAGCCATGATGATGATGATGATAATCCCTTCCCTTTAGAACTGTCCTCTAGATGAGGGTGTCTGCAAATTATACATTGTACATTGCAGAACAGACAGCATTTGATTTCCTTACGATGCTCAATTACTTCCTTAATCCCTAAATGGATCACAGAGAGAAAGCTAAGTCTGTCAGTGGAGATTTAACTCAGCAAGGCCAAAAACTCACTTGTGAGTAGCCTCAGGAGTTTTGACAATATTTATCAAGGTGTTCACTTTAGGATTTTGATGAATGTACAGCAGAGATAATGGTATTTTATCAAGGAGGCAGAACAGAAACTACTCTTTATAGAGAACTTTACAATGCATTTCTTCTTTTACCCGGCAGTCAGACCCAAACATCATGAGGAATCATGCACAACATGCTTTATCTTTTGATGGAAGGAAGAAGACAGCCTGTTTCCACTGGTGGGGGATAGAAGCTAGAGTATGTGAGGAGAAAAAACAAGCTCTCTGGCATATTCAAGCTCTATTTTTTTTAATTTAAAGTCTATTGAAAACCAGGCTCTGTTGTTTTATTCAAATATTGTATTAGGAAATGAACACACAGAAGCAAACTGCTGTATAAGAACATGTCACAAGCTTTTTATACAGATTCACAGTGATAAATAGATACAAAGACATTCCCTTTGATCTATACCAGATACTTACGAGGAATGCAAAGTGCAGCTTTTTGATATTATACAGTCTCAACCAGAGGTGTTTCACCAGAAGTCTGGTACATAAACAACTTCCTTTAAAACAGAAGTTTCCAAAGCATGACTAAATTGCTTGATCCAGATCACTGGCGTGGCGTTCTTGGCACAGGCTCCTTTTTAATGTCCATTTCCCCCTTCTGAGAGGATGCGTGATGGCTCCGTGTACTTCGCTGTCATCAGGTAAAAGAGGGCAGGGGCAGGAACCAGGGCAAGCAATGGCAGGTCCTGCTCAAGCTTATCCAGTTTGGAAATGGAGATGATTCCATAGGCATGAAGCAACCAGTGGCTGAAGAGGACAACAAGCCTTTTCTTCCTCACCAGAAGATCCTTGAAAGACTTGTAAAATAAAACACAGTATCCTGTAAGCATTCAGCCTGTTCCCCAGTTCCTGACATTTCAGAGATGTTACAGGCAGAACACAGGGCTGTGTTTGAGCCCTTCCAGCACCAGTGCATGACGAGAGGAAAGTCTCACAGGAGCTTCCTCCAGCCAAGAGGAGAAGCCATAAAGGAAGAGGCCTAAATGCTGAATACACTGCTGAGAAAAGGCAAGAGACAAAGTGGCCTCTGCTCATTCAAGCCTTTTATAATCTGAGTTTTAACACAGGAAACACGTTTACCCACCTCCACTTCAGAAGCAGACATGTAAACAGCCAGAGTGACCAAAGACAACACCAGTATGATGTATGGGAAGGCGTAATCTGAAGGCAAACAAGGAAGACATTAGCAGGAAAAAAAGCATGATTTACAGTTCAGAGAAAGTTTTTCCACATATAACCACAGGTATGAAGTAAACTGAGGTACACCAGCCCATCTCTCAGCACAGCAGTATGGGTCAGCCAAGCACAACTCCACAACAGCTCTCACTGAGGTTTTCGAACTTCTACTGTTTCTTGGTGGAGTTATTGTACACTTAAACCATGAACTGAAAAGGGCACATAATAAGAAAAGTAGTCGGGCTGAGAGAGGATTTTGTGGCACCTCTCCATATGTGGCAAGGATGCTGAAAGCTAAACCAAAAATAGCCTCTCTTCCCAAACCTATACTGTAATCTATCCCAAAATCAGACAAACTCTGCCTTAGCAGAAAGTGGAATTAACTCCCTCTGAAGTAATTTCCTCTCATAACCTACTCTATTCCTTTTTTTGGGGAAAGGAACAGTCTCTAGCAGCACTGACTGAGGCGAAGCAGTGTGTCAGGAGCCTGGTGAGATCAGGGCTACTAATGAGCAACCTTTTCAGGTCAGACTCCTCACAATAATCTTAACCAATGTCCTTATTCCCAAAGCAAGAAATGTCCCTTCCCTCTCTCCCATAAATCACTTCTTAGTGTGCATTTACAGGTATGTTTATAGCGTAATTAGGAGAGAACTCACAGAGCAGGCCTCCTCCCACAGCCTGCAGCACGGTGAGGATGGGGAAGAAGTAGAGTGCTGCATAAATGCTTTTGAATCGATCAGACTTTCCCAAGCCACAGGCAATTTTCTTAACCAGGAGAGGCCGAAGGAGCATCATTAACACGAGACAGAAGGCGTAATATATAAACACAATGGTGTACCTGGGGAGAAAAAAAAATAGAAATTCCTTCAAAGGTGCAGTTTTCTCACAGAGATTCAAGTCACAACCAGGGAATTTGGGGTTAGTCACTGAAGTCTAAAGAATTTATAACCAAAGGACGTAAACACAGAATGATGAGCTCACTTTTCCAAGGGGGAAATGATCAAGATGTAGCAAAGGAAAAGAAAAAAAAGGAACTTTGAGCGTCATAGCTAAAAAGCGAGAGGACGAGAGGACACAGCCCCAAGCTGTGCCAGGGAAGGTTCAGGTTGAACATCAGGAGGAATTTCTTCATGGAAAGGGTGATAAAACATTGGAAGGGGCTGCCCAGGGAGGTGGTGGAGTCTCAGTCCCTGGAGGTGTTTAAGGAAAGACTGGACATGGCACTCAGTGCCCTGGTCTAGTTGACAGGGTGGTGTTGGGGCATAGGTTGGACTCAATGATCTCAGAGTTCTTTTCCAACCCAGTTGATTCTGTTTGACAGCCTGGACTGTGCCACCTTCTCTGGTTACTCAGAAAGTCATTAAGTGGTGCTAAATGTTTCACATATAAAACAGCTCAATGCATCAAAGACTTCAGGGGATTTGATACTCATTGATCTGAGCTGTACCTGAACACTTTTTGCAGCTTTGAGAAGAGGCACAGACACAAACACAGCTGTATAAAAGGGAGGGACAGACAGGAGCACAAAAGCCTTCACACTCACAGAGGGTAGACAGCCTCGTGGGTGCAGTGCACTGTGGTGATGTAGTCGGGGCTGGGGTTGTAGAGCATCGTGTACCAGTCCGAGAGCTTCTTCACCCTGCAGGAGCGGATGTGCAGGGACCCCACGGGGTCACTGACCAGCAGGGTGACCACTGCTGCAACGCTGCACTCCAGCAGGGCTGTGATGTGCTGCAGCAACACGCTGGAGCTGGGGAGCAACACAGAGAGTTACTGTTTCTCTAACCGTACAGGAAATCTAAACACCGACTGAAAAGCGGTGGCCTGTGCAGTACAGAACCTCCTGCAGAGTTAATATTTGCTGTGACCAAGGTTAGGGCAGCTCTGCCTCGATAAATTCAGTATTTGAAGCTGAGTGTGTAAACTCATTTACAAGCTCAGATAGTTTTGTGGGTAAAATGTAAAAGGGCAAAGAAAGCAGCAGTGAGGGTAACACACCACATGTTTCAGAAGGAATAACATTTACATGTGATATAAGCAACATTTTCAAAGATGCAAGACCTTTTTAAAGACCATCCCTGGAGGTGTTTAAGGAAAGACCGGATGTGGCACTTAGTGCCATGGTCTAGTTGACAAGTTGTTGTTGGGTCATGGGTTGGACTTGATGATCGCAGAGGTCTTTCCCAATCAAATTGATTCCGTGATTCTGTATATGTTCATATATTAAACTCTCCAAGTGCCCTGTGTTTTCAGTGTTCATAGAATCACAGAATGGTTTGGGTTGGAAGGGACCTTAAAGACCATCTTGTTCCACCCCCCTGCCATGGGCAGGGACAGTTTAGTACACTCCAGTCCCTACTTCTTAGAAGTTTTAGTCTAGCACCCAGTGTCACCAAGTTCTAGTCTAGCACCAATCCACATGGTAGTTGTGGGTGTTTAAACCCCTTTTTTACAAAAATTCCCTGATGTATCATGCTGATGTAAAAATCACAGCAGTTGTGCTACCAGGACCAAAGCCCAGAATAAATATTCCTAAAGAGAGAACTCAAACACATTCTCTTGCACTGACCAGGGCCTCTGTGGGTGGGAAGTCTGGCCAAGGATTGAGAGGATGACACAACCCACTGCTCCTGCCTGCTGGGAAACCCAATCCAGCCCAAACTGGCAGATGGAGTGGGCATCATCACATTAAACAGATATAGACCATGCCCCGAGGGCAGTGACTGGCAAAAAGGATCTGCAGGGCTATTATATTAGCAAATAAATTCCCCTCCAGCTGCTCAAAGCTTATGTGGTACCATATCAGCTCAACCAACAGCCAGTCTGGATAGGGAGCAACCTTATCTAGTGGAAGGTGTCCCTGCCCATGACAGGAGGTGGGGAAATAGATGTTCTCCAAGGTCCCTCCCAATCCAAACCATTCTGGGACTCTGAGAACTGCGGGGCAGTTCAGTTCATCACCTCTGACTGACCGCTCAGGGATCCAAGATTTCCATTTTTAAACCACGTATCTACAGAAGGGGCACACAAACCTCTTCTTTCCAGAATACCACTCAATAAAGAACCAGTGTAAGACCAGGGGCAGCATGGCCATGAAGCCGAGGTAGAGCCAGTCATAGCGATCTGGAGATCCTGTGCACTCCCTGCAGATCTTGTTGTCATCGGTCCTCTGACCTCTGGGACACACCTGCAGAGAGCAGAGGCGGGATTTAGAACCCGAGGAACAACAACACATCATTGCAGTTCCCGGACAAACAGCTTGAGGCAGTACCGGGGCAAGAAACAGACCATATTTTTAAAGAGATGAAACAAAAATCTCAGAGACGCCTCAGCTCACACTGGCCTTACCCTGTCTTGTTCCTACTTCTTCATATAAACTCCCCCACCAAGCTGCTCACAACCACTGGCCCCCAGTTTCTTGCTCCCCTCCCTGGATCTTGCTCTCCCTCAAAAATAAAACCCAGTTAAATCCGAGAGATTTCAGCACAGCTCTCCACCCCATCCCGTCCTGTTCCAGCTTTCCCAGCCCCTCCACTCAGCTCGGGTTTGGGACCGAGCCTCCAGCACGTCCTTCGGGGAACGTGTCACGGAGCAGCTCCTGCTTCGCCCAGGGAACTCTGCCCGCCCCCGCCTGGGCGGCCCCAGCGCCCCGATCCCGAAGGGATCGGTACCATGTCATGGCGGGACCCGCCCCAGCCCGAGCTTGGGGCCACCCCCTGCCCGGGTCGAGCCTCGCACTTACCCCGCAGTCCCCGTAGGTCTCCAGGGAGCCGTTCACAGACAGGACGGTCCTGCCGCAGTACAGCCCGAGGCAGGCGGGCTGGATGTCCACGGCTGCGGGGAGAGCGCGGCACGCAGGGGCTGTTACCGAGAGGGGCACCGAGCCCGCTCCAACCCCATCCCCACCGCTACTCCCATCTCCATCCCCATCCCCATTCCCAGTCCCATCCCCATCCCCATTCCCAGTCCCGGCCTGTCCTACCGGCGCGGAACATCGCGGTTACCCGGCAACCGCCCCTGCAGGAGACTTCCGCCTCGGCGCTTCCGCTTCCGCCGCGGGAGAGGCCCCGCACGGGAATGTGGGCGGGGCATCCGCAAAGGGGCGGAGGCAGGCAGGGGGCGTGGCATTTGGGAAGGGGCGAGGCAACGGCCGTTGTTGTGGGCGTGGCTCCAGGAGGTGATGGGCGTGGTCTAAAAATGGGGCGTGGCTTCTCTAAGTATATATCTGTCAGACGTGGGCGTGGCCTCAGCGTGGGCGCTGTGGCGATGGCGGCGCGGGGCGGCGGTGACAGCGCCGGTGTCGGAGCCGGAGCGGGGCGGGCGCTGCCGCCGCACTCGCCCTCCGGCCCCGTGCTGCAGACGGTGGAGATGCACACGGGCGGCGAGCCGCTGCGCATCGTCCCGCGGCTGGAGGCGGCGGAGCGGGCGGCGGCGGGCGGGCTGTCGCTGCTGTCGCTGCGGCGGGAGGTGGCGGCCGCGCAGGACCACGTGCGGCGGGCGCTGGTGCACGAGCCGCGCGGGCACGCCGGCATGTACGGGGCCGTGGTGGTGCGCGGCGGGGCGGCCGCCGAGGGCGCGCACCTGGCGGCGCTGTTCTTGCACGGCGCCGGCTACAGCGCCATGTGCGGACACGCCGTGATGGCTCTCGGGCGCTTCGCCCTCGACTACGGGCTGGTGCCGGAGCCCGCCCGCCCGGAGACCGCCGTCCGCCTGCGCTGCCCCTGCGGGCCCGTCACCGCCTTCGTGCCCTGGGACGGCCGGCGCAGCGGCAACCCCGTGCGCTTCCACAGCGTGCCCGCCTTCGCCGCCGCCACCGGTGGGAGCCCGGCCCGCTGCAGTGGGCTTTGGGGGGGCTGGGGGCCTGGCTGAGGGGCATGTGGCAGATCCCTCCCTGATTCTGATGCCCTTCAGAGGTTGTCAGGGTGGCATAAGGCATCACATGCACGGGAGCATTCAAGTCATCCACTGCTCTTGGCGTGCAGCGGGGTTCCTTCAGTCCATATGCAAGCCCGGGGCTTGGCATGGTTTGCCCTGCTCACCTCCCTCCCTTTCTTTGCTCAGACTTGGCCATTGACGTCCCTGGCTATGGGAAGGTGGTGGTTGACATCGGCTATGGTGGCACTTTCTACGCCTTCCTCAGCGCCGAGCAGCTGGGCCTCGATGTGTGCTCCTCAAAGACCAGAGACCTTGTCAGTGCAGCGAGCGCAGTAACAGAAGCGGTGAAGAAACAGGTATGGGGGAGCACCGTGGCACCCCAGCATATTCCCTTCCCAGTAACTGCATCAGACTGAAATACTTAGGATGGGGGGGGGATTCTCATCCTTCCAGCCCCATGTTGAATCTCAGAGTCCTTACAAGGATGTAAGAAGGAGCTGCTGCTGCGTCCATCTCTGTTACTGGAGAAGCAGAGGTGGCAATGCAGCAGTGTGGCCTTGACTGCTTCCTCTGGTCCCTCATGGAAGCTGTACTGCACATGCTACTGCTGTGTGTGACCCTCTCTGTGCTGTTCCCAGTTCAAACTTCATCATCCCGAAAGTGAAGACCTGGCTTTCCTCTACGGCACCATCCTGACAGATGGGAAAGATGCCTTTAGCGAGGAGCCCACCACCAACATCTGTGTGTTTGCAGATGAGCAGGTACAGAAACGGGCTCCTCTGAGGCACATGAGGCACCTTTGTCCCCTCTTACACCTGCTGCAGAGAAGAGGGACAGTTCTGCTGCTTGTTTTGGGCAGTGATTACTTTTGCTGCTGTCATGTCTGTCCCTGAAGAGCCAAGTGTCATTTCACACATCCTGTTTTAATTCCTAGTGGCAGAAGTTCTTCTGCACATCTTAGATGGTGACCTTTTAAAAAGTTTTATACCTACAAACCCTTTGATAGGAATTTCCCAGAGGTTCAGGGACTTAGGCAGGATCCCAACATAGTGCACGTCTCTAAAGTCCTAATCTACAGAACGGTTTCTGGGGATGAACAGAGCAAGACGTGGGGTGTTAAATTCTGTCCTTGTCTGCAGTATTGCACAAATGGCAGGGGAAGCTGGACTTCCCAGCAGTGAGGAATGTGGAGCACTGGGACAGGTCACCTCAGAAACTGGCTGTGCTTTTGGAGGTTTTAAAAACCAGGCTTACCAGCAGCTCTCTCAGCATAAGGAGAACTGATCCTGCCTTGTCATATGAGAATGGGACAGGGTGGCCTTAGACCCTCTGAGTCCTTTTGTTATGATGCTGGTAAGCTTTCAAGTGCTCCTTAAATAGCCTCAGTATTTATTAGATCATTGATCCCTATAAATGTGCCAAAGCTAATCACAATCCAGGAATACCCCAAACCTTCCACTGTGATGTATCCAGATTCTGTACAAAACCCTGGGCTAGAGGGGTTTCCCCCAGGCACAGTATAAGGGTGCCAGAGAGATCTGAGGGGAGCAGTTTTGTTTTCTATTAAACCCCACAATACTAGAGCTGGCTCGTCTTCTCCCCTGCGCGTAGGTTGACCGAAGTCCGACGGGTTCGGGTGTGACAGCTCGCATTGCCCTGCAGTACCATAAGGGACTCATCCAGCTGAATCAGACCAGAACCTTCCGGAGCAGCACCACAGGCTCCTTGTTCACTGGGAAGGCAGTGAAGGCAAGTGACTTGTGCTGGTCTTTCCCCCTGTCTCAAGGACTGCTGGAAAATTGCTGTTGCCTTGGCTCAGTGGGGAAGCAGAAAAGCCTTTCTGTTGCCTGGGGAAGGGCGTGTGGAAGGGGGGAGGCGCCTGGGGGTCTTGCCCTCCCATAAACCTCATGCTTCAGGGATTTTATTTAGAAAAGCAAGTAACGGTAAGTCCTTGTTGTGTTGCGTGGCTTCTGCACCCTTTGGGATGCACCTGGGCAGGGCAGAGTGCTCTGAGAGGGGTGTCTGCATAAGTGCCAGGTAGCACTGGCATTTTCTGGGCTTGGGAGCGTGGAAAGCTGCTGTCGCCTCTGTCCTGATCCTGATCCCTCTGCAGGAAGCCAAGTTTGGGGACTACAACGCTGTCATTGTGGAAGTGTCAGGAGAAGCCTTTTACACCGGCACAGCCACCTTCACTGTCGAGGAGGAGGACCCGCTGAAATACGGCTTCTTGTTCAAGTGACCCGAGCCACAGGTGACGGCACTGTCCCACTGGTGGTGCTGCGCTTCTCCTGCCCAGGAATTTCTGTTCTCGCCACGATATGCCACAGCAACGAGAACAGCTTTGGGTGGTGTGACAGCATCTGCTGTATTTCAAGATAACAAGCTGTGCTGCCCTGCTGTGATTAGCATATTGGGTGCGCTGTGATTAGCATAAACGGGCCGCTCTGAGAAGCTGTAATATTTTTCTTCTTTTTTTTTTTTTTTTTCTTTTTTCCACAATAATTACTCACAGAAAACAGAGCTGATCTTGGAGATCTGTCTTCAAAGTTAAGTGCCTTCTCTGTGTCTGAAAACTATGAATTTCAAAGTGAGATTCCTATTAAATGCCAGCTGAAAACACTTCCTTTCTCCTCGTTTTCCCTTCCAGAGCGCATTTCCAGGATTCTACTGAGTGTGTCATGGCTGTTGGTTTGAATCCTTGTCTCCTGCACTGCCAGCTGTACTGCTCTATCTCCTGCCCCATCTCCTGCCCCATCTTCCCTTCTTAGGCCTTTCCAGATACCTCCTTTCTCAATTACACTGGCTTCATTCCACCAGATCCCTCCTGCATCCTGGGGCTGGGGGTGAACTTCCCACTGTCCCCACTGAGTGAGCATGCCACGCTGCTTCCCTAAACCTTCCTCTCTGGCTTATCTCAGACCAGGGGCTGCAAATATCCCACGGTTAACTTTCAACAGGAGCAGCTGTATTCGAAGGTCTGAGCTACTATGACCTTAGGTAATTATTTACTGGTGATTTTGTCTCAGCCCAGAGGCAGCTTGTGCAGTGGGGTGCAATCAGTGTTTGCTTTGCCAGAGTCCTTCCAGAGAGGATTGCCAATGGAAAAACCAAACCAAGCATTTGCAGTGGCAGGAGCAGAGCTTCAGACCACTTGGGGCCTGTCAGTTCTTCTGTGTCTGTGGACAAAGTGGTGCTTGCTTACTGAAGACACTTGGAGTGTCTGGGTGCACTTGTTAAAATGAGACATGAGAATGATCATCTCCTGGGAGCTCTTGCAGCAGAAGGGAGAAAGTCATACTGGTGAGCTGGGAAAAACATTGGCATCAAAATGCCTGGGAGGAATTTCTTCTGCCGAGTTGAAAATTACAACTTTGGAATGGGAATAGACAAAAATCCCCTTGTTGAGAGAATGGCTGCACTGCCAAGAGAATTTTTTTAGGATAGTGTTTGGAGTTCTTGCTCACAGTTTTCCTTTAACCCCTGGGTAAATCCTATACAGCTTCTGGTCCCAGGGAGCAAGAAGTGACATGCACACCCTCCATGCTTGCAGGAGCAAACTCCTCCATGTGTTTTCAGCTTCTGGGCATCTCCCTTGTGATCAGCCCCCCAACCTTCCCCACCGGAAAGAGCTGGGACAGCAAGTCACGAAGCTTAGCACAGAACGTTTGGAAACTTCAGCCATTAATTGGGGCACAACCTTAATTAGCTATTCACTACCCCTATCCCTAGGAAACTTTTCAGGTATGGGCAGACAGCTCCAGCATGGCTGAGAGAGGGGGGACAGGGTCCTGCTGCCCTTGTGGGGGTCCCTGACTGGATCCCTCAACCCTACAGCTGGTGATCTCTCAACCCTCAGCCTGGAGAGTGGGAAGGAGGGTGGTCCCAACCTCTGCCAGAGTGTCTGGGGGTAGCTGGTCCTTCGTGATAGAGAGGGGATGGGAGGGGAGAGGGGGACAGGGGGAGAGAGGGATGTGAGGGGAGAGGGATGTGAAGGGAGAGGGACGTGAGTGGGAAGGAGCTGATGGGATCTGGGAATAGAAAAGGGTCTGTGGGGACCCATCCCTGACTCTGGGATGGGAATGACGCCAGTGTGGGGTGAGATGGTCCCGGCCTCTGCTGAAGTGTCTGGGGGTAGCTGGTCCTTCGTGACAGGCTGCGGGGCTGTGCGAGGAGAGCGGCCGGGAGGGGAGAGGAGCTGACCGCGTCCGTGGGGGTCCCATCCCGGACTCTGTGATGACGATGACGCCGGTTTGGGGTGAGGGGGGGATCCCCGTCCGCAGCCCAGCCGTGACGCCCGGCATCCCTCATCCCCCGTGCCCGGCTGCGGGGGCTCCGCTCCGCCGCCAGCGGGTCCGGCCGGGCCGGGCCGGGCGGGTTCCCCGGGCAACGGCGGCCGAGCGACGTCAGCGGCCGGCGGGGCCGGGAGCGGCGGCAGCGCCTCTGCAGCCGCGGCGGGGCCGGGGCATGAGGCTGCGCATGGAGCCGGGAAACCTCTCCCGGGGCAGCGGCGGCGGCAATGAGAGCGGCGGGGCCGCGGCGGGGGTGGCGGGGGGGTGGTCGGCGGCGGCGCTGGCCTCGCAGGCGGCCGCGCTGCTGCTCATCTTCGCCCTCTCGGCGCTGGGCAACGGGGCGGTGCTGCTGGTGATCGCCCGGCACCGGCAGCTCCGCACGGTCACCAACGCCTTCGTGCTGTCGCTGTCGCTGTCGGAGCTGCTGGGCGCCCTGCTCTGCCTGCCCCTGGCCTTCCTCAGCCTGCTCAGCCGCCCGCCCGGCGCTTGGCTCTTCGGGCAGCGCCTGTGCCTGGCCAGCGCCGCCCTGCACGCCGGGCTGGGCATCGCCGCCACGCTCACCATGGCCCTGCTCTCCTTCGACCGCTACTGTGCCATCGTGCGCCAGCCCCGGCACAAGATGGGCCGCCGCCGCGCTGCCCAGCTGCTGGCGGCCGTCTGGCTGTGCGCCCTGGCACTGGCCGGGCCCTGGTACGGGCTGGCGGGCGAGGGGCACCGCGAAGCCCGTCCCGGCGCCTACCGCTGCGTCTACGTGCTGCCCTGGGGCTCCTCGCGGCTCGGGCCGCTCTACGGCGCGGCCCTCATCGTGCTCTGCTACCTCCTGCCCTTCGCCGTCATGTGCTTCTGCCACTTCAACATCTGCCGGGCGGTGCGCCTGGCTGAGAGCCGCGTGCGGCCCCTCACCACCTACGGGCACCTGCTGCGGGCCTACGGGGAGATGCGCACGGCCACCACCGTCCTCATCATGATCGTCTCCATCATCTGCTGCTGGGGGCCCTACTGCGTCCTGGGGCTGGCCGCCGCTGCTGGCCACCTGCCCTTCTCGCCCACCATGGACGCCGTGGCCAGCGGGATGGCCTGGGCGAACGGCGCCATCAACCCCCTCATCTACGCCGCCCGCAACCCCAACATCTCCGTGCTGCTGCGGCGCAGCCGGGAGGGGGGCTACAGGACTCGGAACAACATGGTCGCCTACCTGTCGGTCCCGGGCCGCCAGCCGGAGCCCCGCAGCAGGGCTGACCGTGTCCGGGAACGCTACATCAATCGGCACAGCGGACCCCCTGGCAGCGCCCTGTCCTCCTCCAGCCCGGCGAGCGGGGGAGAGGTGGCCATGTGGGCCTGCAAGACTCCCGCTGTTCTCTTCTGTCGAGATGGGCAGCCGGACACCATCTCTGAGGCCACCTTGAAGACCAAAGCAGGCACCATCGACACCAGCCTCTGAAGGGACGAGGGATAGAGGCATTGGGGCTGTCTCCCTGAGGAAAGATGGGGAAGATTCCCAGTGCTTGGAGCCCTTTGCAGCCAGACCACCAGGAAATTGGAGAGATGGGACTGCACATGAGCCATAGCGTGGTTTCTTTTTCATTATGTGAGCTCTGGTTTGGTGGCCCAGACTGCAAGCAGTGAGAGCTCCACAGGGAAAGGAAGCCTTTCCTGGTGGCACTGGTGGCAGCCTCCGAGCCCAGCCAACACAAGAGCTCAGCTGCAAGAACAAGACAGTGTTTGGTCCAGTCCTGCAGAAAGTATCACAATGAAGCTCAGAGGCCAACACACCACTGCAGCCCAAACTGACTGACTGAATGTGTGAGCTGTTTGTTAAGTGCCAAAAAAGCAATTGAAAGCTGAGCACTGGCAGCTGGAAGACACACTGAAAATATCACACTGTGAAAAATGCATCATGGCAGGATAATGTTGCTTTAACCCATTATATGTGGAAGTGCCAATAGTTATAAAGTCATGTAAGACTGTAAGACAGGCTAAAAAAGTGATCTATTAAAGTTATTTTTTTTTTATTATTTAAACTGAAGCATAACAAAACAGTAATTTTGAAAGGGAAGATGTATGATACTGAGAGGGAAAGAAAGGAAGATGAAACCTCAGTTGTCAGAATTTCAGTGGCCTTTTCCATTTTTTTTTGCAGGTACAGTCAACTTTAAATACTGTGAATATGAGAAACTTGAGTTCCTCAGACAGACTGAGGAAAAGTGTGTGACCGTAGACTGTGGTGTCACTGAGTTTGTGCTCAAGGTGTGTGTTTTGTTTTTGAGCTCATCTGAAGTGTCTCTTGTCTCTAAGAGTTTAACTGTGTGCGAGAGGTATCTGAAAGGAGAGGGAAAGCAATACCATGTGCTCCCTCTGTGCTCTTCAGCATGTGAAAATGTGTATATACAGAGAACAGGGATTATTGTATTGATGGCAGCAATCCATTGGAGTATAATATATAAAGACCAGCTCTGTTTGCTGTTGAAAAAGAAGGAAAATAACAGAAGTGTGATTGTATGGCATAAATTTGTATTAATTTATCAGTGTTATCTTTTTGTTCGAAGGCCTAAAGCCTTAAATTAGTATTTTGAATCAGAAACTAAGATTGGGCCTTCCTTTCTTTTTGCCACAGTTAAGTGTAAGAGGTGGGCAGTGTTTTTTCTTTGTACAGGCTTTAAAAATACAATGTTTCAGTTTTACCGGATTTTTCAACTTTTTGTGACGCAAGTAAACACACTGTCATTATTTTGTGAGACAAGAAATAAATTGTCTTTTATGCAGGAAGCGAAAGTGTCTCAGCCTGTCATCATTCTCAGGCCAGCCTTGAGAAGGGAACTCCTTTGAAAAATTGCCAGATGAATGACAGTAGAGACATCATTGTTTGTGAAATTTTAGCGCAGCTGGTTTCCGTGCTCTAAGCGTTACTGTAACTTTCTTCTGTGATGCTCCTGAAGTCCACTAGGAAAAGATTTGACTACTCAGCACTGCTACTTTGCCCTGCAGCTACTGGATTTTGCAAGTTCAGCAGTGTTTTCTTGCTGTTTCAGGGAGAAGCTGTGCAGAAAGCCCACAGCTTTTCACAGGAGCTGTTTGACAGCAAGTAAACACCGGTGGCTTGTTGGAAGGGTGGGACAGGAATTTCTGGCATACCTGCCCTTCCACAGCAAGGCATGGCTAGTGTAAATGGGAAAAGGTGGTTGTGAATGGCGAGATTAGATTTAACTCTTTCCTAGGTAGTTGCAGGGGTTAACAAGGAGATTGTTGGGGGATAATTTGCCACACAGACCATGTGGCTGATGTCCCTCAGTGCTTGGCTCTGGCCACCTTCCTTGTCCCTTCTGTCCCCACC